TTGCTGAGCTTCTAATATTCTTCTTCAGTGAGTCACAGCTAGACGCAGGATACAGGGGTAATGCATGTCACACAGGCACCACAGAAGTATTTAGTTGACTTTGCAAGACATGTATACTTTTGTTTCTCAGCATTATATGTAGTTCTACAATATCCACAGCATACGTGTGTTTGTTTCTCTGTGGGTGTTTAAAGGTACACATACTCCTGTATATATGTATAATATGTAGAAGTTGTAAGTGGTATAGCCCCCCCAGGAACAGTTTGTGAAAGCTGCATCTTGAGCACTATATCTGTTGAACAAATGTATTTAATTCCCCTCCACTGTTACAGCTGACTAGAACAGATAGACTTTTTCATGCAAAAACATGCAATATGTTAGAGAATATGCTTTACATGGGGAATTTGCCATTGGCTTCGATATGAAAATAATCAGATCCTTGACAGAACTCAAACAGCAGCACACCTTGGCAGCTGCTGTAACTATAAACTGGGACAGCAATCTTGGCCTGTGTACATGGGAAGGTGGACGACAGGAGGACATCTTGCACTTCTAGAGTGACTTGCACATGATACAAATCAAAGCCATCTTCACGGCTGCTCTCTCACAGAAAGATCATAGATGTCAGTGGCTGTATAGTCGTGGCACAGGTTTCTAAATCAACGGGTAGCTCTTTGCTGGCCTGCTTTGAACTGCCCTGTGCAGTTATCCCATCCAACGCTTGGTGACAGGCCCTGTTCTTCTGGCCTCTGATACTGCTCCCTGGACGAGCACGTGGGGAAGCTGGGGGTGCTGGAGGTGTACCAAGCCTCACCAGGGGCTGCTCCCAGTACACTGCATGCTTCTAGGGGAGAGGGGGCATGGGAAAGCGCTATGGCTTTAGGCTTTATTGGGTGTGAAGAAGGCGAGAGATTTATCTGGATTTGGGTTTTCTGTGCTCTTTGTGAGTCCAATGAAGGGACAATGCAAACACTTCTACTTCTCTACTGCAGCTGTTTCCCCCAACTTTGAGGCTGTTTTCCAGGGTAGGGTTCCCTCTAGGCATGGATCAAGGGGATATGGTTGGATTCATTGAAAACTGTCCTCCCAGGACTTGCTATGAGATGTCAAAGGATTAGAAACCAGGCTGAAAGGAGTTCAAGTACTCCCCAAATCCTGTAATAAAGAAATTGCTGCACTTTCCAGAATGAGTAAGTGAATGACCAGGGATTTTCTGAGAAGTAGTTCAGTCTGAAAGCCTTTCAGTAGTAAACAAAACTAAAGAAAGCCTATTTATTTTCTTTGAATCAGTATTACAGACCACTTTTATCTGGTTCTACATTTCACACAAGGAGAAAATAAACTCCTAGGAAAACTTACTGCACTTTACTCAGTGATGTTAACATGCAAATGAAAGTGGAGAAGTTTTTCCCTGACTATATTTGAACTTTACAGTAGCATGGGTCCTGTGTTAATGTTCCTCTATGAACTCATCTGATTTACTTTTTACCATGTCAAGGAGAGACTTTTGACCACTGACAACACCTCTACATCCAAGTGAGGATTTAGTCCTTAATGAACATGACTGAAGCATTACGACACACTTATGACACCAACAAATCAAAACTGGGACAGTAGTCTGCTAGCATTATAATGAACAGCACTTACTATTTCTCTGATATGTGTTAGCTATTATGTGAAACTCTCATCCATTTCCACTAGGAGAGGAAAGTGTCCTGCCTCTTCTGACCCAGGAGTCTAACTCCAAAGCCCGGAGAGGTATATTAAGAAGAGCTGTCTTTTCTGAAGACCAGAGGAAAGCTTTGGAGAAAATGTTTCAGAAGCAGAAGTATATCAGCAAAACAGACAGGAAGAAACTGGCTATTAACCTGGGTCTAAAGGAGTCTCAGGTAAGGAATGATAAAACATTTGTGACTTTCTGTCGTTTTGAGGAAAAATCTTTAAAATGGCTTTCAAGGAGGAAAATTGAACAGCATAGGGGCAGCCCTGAGCTCCTTCACTGGGAAAAGACCTCGGTAAATCAATGGCAGTTTTAATCAAGGAATGCTTGAACAGCTTCCTAGTTTATTTCCTGAAGGTGTACATTCAAAAGCTGATTGCTCCATTTTCACACAAAGTGGGAGTAATGTATTCTCTGAATTTCATTACCAACTCCCATTTTGCTATCTGACAGAGCCTCATCAGGACCTTTGGGGTAGGGAGCTGTGCTCCATCCCACTGCCTGATAGGCAGTGATCCAGGCAGAAAACAGCAGAGAATGGAGCCCTCCTGCATTCCTGTGAGGACCTTTTGCTCTTGCAGATGAACAGATATTGACAATGCAGTCAACAGCACTTGCTATGGAACCATCCTGCTCCAAGAGACAGGCAGAAAGAAACTTAGCTGCACAACGAAAGAGATCCTCATAGCTGAGAGAAACTGTAGAAGGGAAAATTTTGCAGAGTGACCTTCTAAAATGCTCCCACTTAACTTACCAATTCACATTTCATGGGGTTTTTCACATGATCCTGAGTTGGCCTACTGCCAGACTTCAGGGTTTATCTGGGGGTCTAATACCTCCAGTGAGCTGTTCTAACTGAATGAGTACAATTAATAGTGGTGCTGAGCAGCAGTAGCCAAATCTGGGATCTCAGGGACCTAGCTGCAGATAAAAACAAAGGAAAAGTGTGTGGCTTGAAGAGCACAAAACCTGAAAGAAACAGGAAAAAATGTTTGTGGGGGCATGTAACAGCAAAAAATGAACATGGTAGCTGCTGGTGGGTGGAATTCTGAAGGTGCTGGAGTAGACGCAGATCTCTAGAGTACAGCTGAAAGAGAGTGAGAGAGTGACAGTACAATTTTATTTCTTTGCATGCAGCAGGAGTGCAAGTGCTTAAGTTATGTATGGCAGAAGCTGTCTGGGGGGCAGCAAAGCCTGGAAGTGGCAGTGGGAGCTCTCATCACCTTTATCTTAGACATTTCCAGAACTTAGCAAGGCTCTCAACAATTCGATCTAACTTTGCAGTTAGTTCCACTTTGTGCAGGAGGTTAGATCTTGTTGTCTGGAGTAGTTCCTTGCAACCCAAATGACTCTGACTCCATCGCAAGCACTGCAACTATAAACAAAAAAAAAGCAGTGTAGTGCTTCTCAGTGTGATGAACAGAACTGTAATCTCTCCAGGATAAACTATTTCAATGAAAATGTGCAATTGCACTCACCAATGTGCTGCCTAAAAATTTCCCAATAGGTAGTAAAATTCCTAATATTACAATTATTTCCTTGAGTTTTTCTTCTGTGTTCTTAATATTCAAGAGAGCCCAAGGGAGTAAAAAATAATGAAATGGCACATAGATAACACCTACCGCTACAGGAAAATAAGTTCATTATAACTATAGACCAGATGATATCTATGTCTTCTTTTTTTTTTTTTTTTTTTCCCTCATGAAAGGAAGAGGAGTTATGATTCTTAAACATGGAAAGCATACTCCCTTTGTCTTCATGTCAAGTATCTGAATGCTAGAACTAAATGCGAATATTTAAGAGAAAATAGAACACAATCTGAATAATTTGATTGATCTTACACACACAAATTTCTTCTCTTTATGTAAAACCAGTCCCTAGATGTATATTTCCCCAAGCTTTTCCCAGCATATTTTACCTCAAAAGCACGTGGCTTCTAAGCAACTCCTGGAATACTGTAGTCAGGCAGACAGAATGTCTTCAGATCCTCACTACTGTGTCGTATCTCATAACAGACATTTTGAAGCTATATGGACAACCTGTTTTTAGCTATGCTTGTGAATGGAACAGTCATAGTTCTTAGACCCTCTTTCAAATAGAAGGCTTCACATAGCCAGTAATATCACTTAGTTTTGTTAATGACTATACCAGTTTACTCTGAGAATCCTTTTCTGTCTAGAAGGATGTTGCTATAGGAAATTGCTCTATCCTTAGCCACTGGGTGGTCCTTTTTCCAGTCTAAGCCAAATAATCACCTGTTGGAGGTGGTAAAAGTCAAGGAGAGTATTTGGCCCAGAGGTGGTAAATAATGATGAGAAAATCCTCAATGTCAATCAGTCAGCTTCACTGGATCTACTATAACAATGAACAAGGAAGGAGCATGAAACTATGGGGGTCGAAAGAAAAAAACCTTGTTAGGGCAAAGTTATTTGAAGAAAAGAATTATAATAAACTCTCATTAACTTGCAAACAGGTGAAAATTTGGTTTCAGAATCGAAGGATGAAATGGCGAAACTCCAAAGAAAAAGAAGTGCTTTCAAACAGGTGCCTCCAAGAAGAAGGTCTTCAGGAGAACTACCTCTCACGATCCACCATGAATTTTACCTCCCCTTGCCCATCTGTGTGGGAAGTGTCTCAGGAGCAGGCAAGTCCAAGGTGGAGGGAGAATTCTTCAGGAAATTCTGAAAGACTGACTAGTACACAACCACCAAGAGCAAATTCATCGCAGAGCCCACTGTATCTGTATCCTGACCCAGATGCTGCAAATAAGGCAGTTACATCATCAGCCTAAGGAAATAGGGGCAGTTTGTAAATTGAGTGGAGAGCACAGGCTTCAAATGAGCAGTCTTCTAAGTCTAACAATATTTGGACATTGTAAAGCTAACTAGTTTATGCCTCATAAATTTGTTAAAGTCTAACACCATTAAAATGACAAACAGCTAATGATTTAAGAAGTATTCTTCAATATTCAGTCTTTTCTTGTGTCTTTTCCAGTCTTGTACTGACCTTATAAGTTAAATAGGAACGGATGGTAAGTAAAATGAAGGGAGGAGCATGAAGCTGTGCTCTGATTTATACATCTGTGCTGTATATGATATTCATTAAAAACTTTGATAGAGAATCACTTTTATCTCTTATTGCAGTCAGACCAATTAATTTCTTTTGTGCACAAGCTAAGAATAAACCTGTTTCCCTCAAGATTATAAGTTGCTTTGGGTTCTTTTTGAAAATCATTAAATTAATAATAGGTTCATATTAGACAAACTTAAGCATTTTTATTATGTTTTCTCCATCTGTCCTCACCTGTATCAGTACTCAGTTAGTTTTAAATAGCATCGTCACTGGTCAGCTGATAACCCTAGTAAAGTATGCAATACTAAAAGACAACCAACCAACCCTATAAAATACTCTGTATTTAAATCACTTCCATTAGAATGCGTACTGGGAAACGCAATTCACTAACTCCTGTCTTTTCTCCTGTGGATGAATCTTCCAGCATTCTAAACTCTGAGTTTCGGTGGCTTTTGTCAGGCTGTTAGTGCAATCTCTTGTAATCTCTTCTGTATTTCAAAACTCTAACGGCGATATGCAGAACTGTAGCCCAAATGCACTAAGCAACAGAACTATAATTGGAAAAACTGCCACTACAGGCATCTCAGAGAAGTACTTAAAGAGATGGCATACCGTAGTAGCCTTATTCTTGATTTATTCCTATTTAAAGTGGTGCCAATAAGTACATATTAGCATATGTCTGTATCAAAGACGGGACAGTATTCTGTGTAATACAAGTAGCCTGAATTAATGTTATTAAAACTGCTTTACTTAAAATGATTTGCTTGTTTCATCCACCTTAAGGAAATCATTCTATGAGTTTAAGTAACATTTTTTTGTTTATTTGCAAGGCTTTATAGCTCAAAATGGGAGCAGAACTTTTTTTTGGCATCCATTTATGAATGCATTTGTTGTGAAGAAAGACTGAAGATTTTTATGTTACAGGCAAAACATTTTGGAGAACATTATGGTTTTATAGGGACTGTTTCATTTCTGGCAGATTCATTTATTTTATAGTCAAAAGATATTATTATGATAATCTAGGCTGGCTTCCCTCATCATGCATGCCATTAATGTTTTTAATTACTCTTCCCTAACATCCAAAGCTTTTTGAAATTTGGTCTTTCAAAAAGCTATACACTTATTATTTAATGTTTTGCCTTCTTGTGGATGATCTACTATTCCCCTTGTTACGTTGTGTTATCTAGGAGGCGAAGTTCAGATACATTTGCAGCTAAAAAACTTGAGATTGCAGTGATGAAGCTTGTATCATAAACTTTATGCATGATCAGGCAAGTTGTGTATCCTGTCTTGTGCGTGTCCTGCCTTCTAAGTGGTCAAATGTGCAGTCCTAGTCTTACACTGTATGTCATTCTTTGCATGTGATTTGCAACACTTGTTTTAAAGAAAAAAGGAATTACATATAAATTAAGAAGTCATCTCTTCCTGTGGTTACAAACCCTCATTAGCATAAGCTGCCTAGATATCTACCCTGGGAAGGCACTTGAACACATTTAGTATGCCAGGTGTTACATGCTATTCAGTAGCACACAAAGTTTATTCCTATCCTATCCTGCAATTGAAATCCCAGAACCAACTCATAGTGTGCCTAAAACCTTTAGGGATGGACAGACACACTGCATACACTTGGGGATGAATTTACAGTCCAGTTGTCCTGTTGAAGTCATAGTCCTGCCCTGTTTGACTGACTCCTACTTGAAGGACCAGCACATGTTGGTGGTCCAGATTCTTCTGAAATGGCATTTGCTAGTGTCTCCCTACAATGAAAGGCATGCCAGGTATTTCCAAATTACCATCAAATGAACAACTGGAGGTACGTGTATGTGGGAGTATTCATCAGTGCTTCCCATTTTGGAGGAGAGCAGTGGTGGGGGTGATTGGGGAAAGGTAGTCTTCACAGCTGCTCATATTCTTTTACTGCAAGTCAGTCAAGCATCAGTGTTAGGAGCAACACTTCTGGAAAGGGGAGACGGGATTCAGAGTGCTCCCTGGAAAATTCAGTTGGTGGTGTTGCAAGCACTGAATGTGAACTGCTGTCAGAACTCTGAGCTGATGTGTTAAACAGATCACATCTGAAGGACATCTCACTGGGGCAAAGATCAGGCACAGCTCATGCAGAATTGGTTTCACGGTTACAATGTCATACATGTTTTAAATTGAGCAAGTTCTGGTTTCACTGTAGCCTGTTACAACTTGCACCATTTCATGGCCCTCCAGATCTCTTAATACCTCCTATCAGTATTCTTACTCCACAGCTACAATAAAGTTTCAATACGCCGGGTTAAATATTCTTTACCTGAAAATGCTGATCAAGCTTTCTTAAAAACCCTAGAAGTATACATGTGAATTTTGAATTATACCTAAAATAGTCTGATTCAAGTAGTCAGAATGGATTTAGGCCCATGACACACACAACCTTAATTCTTCTAATTTTAAGCTATTTTAAGGAGAAGTTTCCCTTCAGTCCACACTGTGAAAACTTGGTAAATGAGAAATAGCACCCTGTATGAATACAAAAATATTATATACTTACAGTGCCAGTCTTTTCTGGGTGAAGGATCGAGTAGTAAGCATTTGTTTTCTTCAAATAATGTATGCACACTAGTTATAAAAGAAGAAAGCAGAAATTACAGACAAAATCCCCAGCAGGCATTTGAAGTGCTTTGTGAACACACGCTTTGCAGGGGTGTAAGGCATGGAATGCATCTGGTGTTACGGGGTGACATGATAGGTACCATGGCATCTCACAGGTAAAACCAGCAACATGTAACACTGGTGGGTGACCTTGCAGCATGGCTGTAGAGTATCTATCTGAGGTATTTTCTGTGTATGGCAATTTGAGACTGTAGTACTAAGCTGTAGAATATTGTGAAGGACATTTGTTGGGATCCTGGGGCTGGGCAGAGTTCAGGTACCTCAAATTCCAAACCGCAATTAAAAAACCCAACTCTTCAGAGGCCATTAACAAAGCAGACACTTGCACTCACTAGGCACCTCTCTGTTTAGTCTGGCAGTTTATCAATGCTAGTGTAATACAGAATACAACAGGGAAAGGAAGAAAGGGCCGAGACTCAGTACTCGCTTTGTTATTGGAGCTGCAAACTCCTGTTCCCTCTGGCTGTGCTGCTGACACAGAGATCTGGCTGCACAACTCCCCAGCCTGAGGAACAGGAGAGGCTTTTCTCACCCCACCTACAGGAGATCCTTCAGCTGGGTCTTCGTGTGGATCTTGAAAGTCTGTTTTAAGGTCAGGCACTCAACGGAGCTTCTCTGATACCTAACAAGAAGGTGCTGATTTCCATTTCCATATCTGGCTCTTGGATCTTTTAAAAGTTATTTCAAATGTTGCAGGTTATGCCAGTCTGCATCAGGCACAGTCACATTTTATTGTGTGTAAACAACTGTGAGACTGTGAAGATGAGAGGCCAGCTAGCTCCTCCGTGGACCTCATGGAACAGTGCTACAAGCGGTATTTGCTGACCACACAGAAAGTAATTTTCTAAAAGTTCCCATGTTTTTATTGATTCTTTGCCAAACAGGAATTGTTACGATCTGCTTAGAAGAACAGGACTGCTTTAAGGCACAAAACTGCATTACTGACTTCAGTGTCAGAACAAACAGTACAATGGTCAAATGTCACTCCTGAGCTGCAGTAATACATCAGATTTGTTTTATCCACTGTGATTTACTAGTAATGGGTTTTAAATACCGGTTGCCTTCACTGTAGCCACACAGCTCCTCTGACGAATATATGTTCCACGGTCAAAAGACCAACATAAATTAAGTACATTCACATGCTTCAGCACACTCTTACCAAAAAGACTGTTACTGATTTTTGCAAACTACAAGGGAAGACAAACCAAATTCAAGCAAGTTATCTGTAAATTCAGTACCCTAAGAAAGGCCTAGAGAGAAATTAGGGCCCAGTTAACTTGAGACTTAGCTTTGAGCCATGGGGAGACCAAAAGGCCCCTGCAGAGAAAGCTTCACAGTGGGCTGAGTTGCCATTGACTGCAGGAGTCTTCAGTGACTGTGCTTGTAAGTTATGTGTGTGACGACTGCTGCTGTATGAGATAAACTGGGGTACGTGAGCATGGATCTGAGATGCTCCCCATGTGGGCTTGCACCTAAATTAATGGCCAGAAAATGGTGATTACCACTCCTTGGTTTTCTGTAGATACTGGTTGTAATTCTAAACTGTGCAGCTCGGCATGGTGGATGGGAATGTCACAAGGCAACATCTTACCAGCCATCTTCCAGTATTCACCCAAACACACAGACATCTCGCTTTGTATAAACATCCAACCCTTGCAAAGTTCTTAAGTTTTTCCAAGTGAACATTTGAATGTGATATGAGGTAGCTGAAAGTTAACGCATGTTGTTCAAAGAAGTCTGTTTCCATTTGCTTCTGCTTTGCTATCATATGGCTTCAGATAAGAGTTAAACTACAAGTCTCTCTGACATCTGTCACTTAATCTATCATGCAAACATCAGCACGTATCAGATTCAGTCTACATTTAAGATGCAGTATCAAAGCCATTTAGCACATTATGAAAGAAACAAAATTAATTTTCAGTCACTCAGAGTGTCTCTAGCATATCCATCATCCTGAAAAAAATGGAAAAGTTTTTGACAAGGAAGTCTCTAACCAAAGCAATTTCTAATAACTGAAAAAATGAATTGGACTGTACAAAAATGTCAATATTCTGGGTCTATCCTGCAATAGTTTGTGGAATAAGGTCTTGAAGAACAATAGAGATATTTTTAATTGTTTAATTTGTTTGGCTGACAAGGAAAGTTAATGGAAACAGGTTATTCTGCAAACTGAAATTATACCATAACTTACCTATGATATACATTGTTGTA